GAACCTTGAATTTTGAAGAAATTGAAAGTCATTAAAAGACACCTCAGAAGTCGGGAAAGCTCATTTCCTGCCACCTAGGAATCAACATTTTCCCGTAGAAGAACCACAGAACCACCCCACCCTCTTTCTTTTTGGGATTTATCGATTCATGGGAAAAAATACGTATGCAACTTACTCAATCTTTTTTTATGTATGTATACACACAATGCCTATTTACTGTAACAACAATGGGGAAAAATTATCTGACCGTTTTCAAGAGTGGAAAACCTTTAATTTTGAAGAACTTAAATTTAAGTCATTAAAAGATACTTCAGAGGTCGAGAAAGCTCATGGCCCACCATTTAGAAATTAATATTTTCCCGGAAGAACTCGAACCTCCCTTTCTTTGAGTTCATTGATTCATTATAATAATTTTCAAGAGGGGAAACCTTAAATTTTGAAGGAATTAAAAGTAATTATAAGACACCTCAGAAGTCGGGAAAGCTCATTTCCCGCCTTCTACGAATCAAAATTTTCCTGAGGGAGAACCCTCAGACCCCCCTTTCTTTTTGGGATTTATCGATTCATGGAAAAACAATCGCATGCAACTACTCAATTTTTTGTGTAGGCCTATGTATACACACATAAGGCCTATCTACTGTAATAACAATGGGAAAAATTTACCTGACCGTTTTGAAGAGGGGAAAACCTTTAATTTTGAATAACTTTTAAAGTCACTAAAAGGTACTTCAGAACTCGGGAAAGCTCATTTCCCACCATTTAGAAATCAACATTTTAAGTCGCTAAAAGATACTTCAGAAGTCGGGAAAGCTCATTTCCCACCATTTAGAAATCAACATTTTCCCAGGAAGAACCTGAATCTCCCTTTTCTCTTCAGGTTCATTGATTCATTATAATAATTTTCAAGAGGGGAAAACCTTGAATTTTGAAGAACTTAAAAGTAATTAAAAGACACTTCAGAAGTCGGGAAAAAGCTAATTTTCCGCCATCTAGGAATCAAAATTTTCCCTTTTCTTTGGAGCTTATCGATTCCATGAAAAAAGAATACGTATGCAACTACTCATTTTTTTAAACTCATTTCCCGCCTTCAAGGAATCAGAATTTTCCCGGACCCCACTTTCTTTTTGGGATTCTTCGATTTGGAAAATTCGTATGCAACTACTCATTTTTCTTTTTTATTTTATGTACCATGTATACACACATAATGCCTACCGTATTTACTGTATAACAATGAGGAAAAAAAATATCTGACCGTTTTCAAGAGGGGAAAACCTTGAATTTTGAAGAACTTAAAAGTAATTAAGACACCTCAGAAGTCGGGAAAAAGCTAATTTTCCGCCATCTAGGAATCAAAATTTTCCCGGGGGAGGACCCCCGAAACCCCCTTTTCTTTGGAGCTTATCAATTCCATGAAAAAAGAATTCGTATGCAACTACTTATTTTTGTAAATGTATGTATACACACATAACAGGCCTATTTACTGTAATGAGAAAGTTTACCTTACCGTTTCTGAGGGGAAACCTTGAATTTTGAAGAACAAAGTCATTAGACACCTAGCTCAAAAGTCGAGAAAGGTCATTTCCTGCCATCTAGAAATCAAAATTATCCCGGGGGAGGAATGTTAACCCCCACCACCTAGGTTTGATTCCAGATCTGCATGATTCATATTCCCATTCATCTTATAAGTGTGCCCCCCCCCC